CATCCTTTTAGAAAACCCAGACAAAACACACCCAACACCACCATGTCGACAAGACAGGATGCTGAAGACGACAAGATAGTCGCACGCCATCACATCCAAGCTCACCACACAGCTTTGCGTCCAGAATTGCGTCCAGAAGCCGCTGAGGCAGCTCGGAGAATTGGAAATACCATTGACTCGGGCTTTCGAAGTAATGATGAGTATTACAAAGCTCGCAGGCAAATGTTGGACATGGACAGGGCTGTCGGCTTTGACCACAAGTGCCGGAGTAGAGCGTCAAGGCTTGAGGAGGAAGTGGACAAGATCATCCAATATCTGAAGAACCAAGACTGCACAGAGGTTTATGGCAAGGCTCCCGCGCGTGCAGGATTCGGCGGTCAGCTTCACAAGCACATCCCTGGAGACCATTTTCTCTCCAACGTGGATCTGATCGGGCAAACGGAGATCTTCAACATTGCCCGGCGCATGCCCAAGGGAAGCCACTTGCATATCCACTTCAATGCCTGCTTGCAACCCCAAGTGCTGCTTAACATTGCCAAGGATATGGAGCGCATGTGCATCAGCAGCGATCTCCCACTTGTCTCTACCAATCACTATGAGAGCTTTGATCGATGTGAGATCCAGTTCTCGGTCAAGGCCGTTGGTTGCGCCACCCAAGGCAATCTCTTCTCTTCAAACTACGAAGCCCGCCAGTGGATGAAGTTCTCAGAGTTCCTGAGACTCTTCCCCAGCAAATACCGCAAGACAACAAATGCCAACGCAATGAAGTGGCTCGCTTCCAAGCTGGTATTTCAGGACGAGGAGGCACACAATTGCCCCCAGACGGCAGAGGGGTAAGTTGATTTCATCATTCATCCCATTGTAACAGTGACTAATGGTTTTATTTATAGTGCTTGGGAGAAGTTCAACGGACGAACGAGGATGATGAAAGGTCTCTTCAACTACGAGACAGCCTACAGAAGGTACACACGGTTGTTCCTCGAGGATCTGATGAACGACAACATCCAATACGCAGAGATTCGACCGAACTTTATGAGCACCAACCAACTGTGCCGCGATGACGGTACTGGTTCCATCGATAACCGCGGCATCATGAACATCATTATCAGCGAAGTGGAGAAATTCAAGGCAGAGATGGCCAAAGGAAACAGACTCTTCCAGGGCCTCAAGGTCATCTACTGCACTCCCCGATCATTCTCACCCGAAAAGGTGAAGGAGGCACTGGATGAGTGCATCCAGTTCAAGCAGGAATGGCCTCAGTGGATTGCCGGTTTTGATCTCATTGGAGAGGAGTCCAAGGGGCGACCCCTCAAGGACTTCATTCCTGAACTGCTTGAGTTCCAGGACAACTGCAGGAATCTGAAGTTGGATATCCCTTTCCTGTTCCACTGTGGCGAGACCCTCGAGATTGGCACCGACACCGATGCCAACCTGGTCGATGCTCTTCTGCTCAACTCAAAGCGAATCGGCCATGGCTATGCCTTGGCCAAACATCCATACATCATGCAACAAATGAAGGCACGCGGTGTCTGTCTTGAGCTCTGTCCCATCTCAAACGAGATCCTGGGCTTGACCCCACGAGCAAGTGGACATTCCATGTACGACCTGCTCGCAAACAACGTCCACTGCACTGTCAGCTCGGACAACGGAACGATCTTCAGATCTACTCTATCACACGATTTCTATCAGGTCATGATTGGAAAGAACGACATGGGACTCGCAGGATGGAAGCAGCTCATCCTGTGGAGCATCGATCACTCTTGCATGAACGATGCCGAACGAGAAGCAGCGCGCGATCAATGGGAACAGGAGTGGGAGGAGTTCCTTCAGTGGGTTGTGTTCACCTACGGCACATCCAGAGACGAGCGCCTGTAAAGGAAGCTCGAGAAGGATAACACAAGAACATAAACGCATCTTTTATGAGACATGATACGACTTATGATGGGAACCATACGGATGCATTCAGACGAGCCATTTGTTTTTTAGCGAGCATATTTGTTTTGTCTGTCTTTTTCTTTGCTTATTTTTTTCTCTCTCTAGATACCAGCATACTGCCAACACTGGCAACCAATCGAGCTTCTGTCAACATGATCCCACTACCTGTCCTCCGTGAAAGAATGTCGCTGGTGCCTAGAACTCACCATTCCACACACATGTGATGCGTGCCTTGAAGAGGCGGTGCTCGATGAGCCGATGCTAATCAATCTGGCAGGAGAACCGATAGAAGACTTGAAGAAGCCTTACCGAACGCCGCCCAGACCGCCAGCCGGCCCTTAGTGCCACAAGTGTGGCGGTGTTGATACCCTTGTCGAACAAAAGTGTGGCAAGGCTGGTGCAGTGGTCAGGTGACGTGTGGCTCACAATATCTAAGCGGCGCGAAATCCATTCATCTCAGGCGACAATTACCATGGTGGAGCGAGTGCCAGGCTTCTATGCAGGTCTCTCCTGAGCGCTTACATCAGCGCCTGAGCGCTTACATTAGGGGTTAGGTTACCAGCATCGAAACTGCCGTCAGCGCCCAGCCACTTTGGACCTGGAGTTCACCAACCAGCGGGTCGCGCCGTTTCCCCCAGCCCAATCGAGGAACCAGCTGAAATGCGGCTCTTAGCGCCGTCCCGCTCTGAAATGAACGCGGGAACGGCCTGGGCTGTCGGTCGGGTTTCATCTCCTCTTGGGGGTTCATCCTTCGAAAAATTGTTTCGCAGCCAGCCAGCGTTGCGTGTTTGAGAGTCCTGTACTTCGTCTATTTCTGTGCTCAGCGTCCGGGGTATTTTTTACATGGGCATCGCTTTTTGCCAACCCCTGTATTCGTGATTCTAACTTTATTTATTCCTTTCAACGTCGCTCCTATCCTCTCCACCCCAAGCCAAGCAATACTACCTATTCACCCTCCAAGAGCGTCTGTTGCCAAAGTGGTTGACCGACCACAACCATCAAGATGGGGGGGAACGGCGCCAATCAGTTCACATGGTTCCCCAGCGACAAGCTGGACTGGGGCCTGGATATTGTCACCCTTCTGGCGGTTATCGGCGAGTCGTCCATCGGTGATCAGTCCCAGGCCATCACTGCCTCGCTGTTCTGCGTCCTCCCACGCCTAATACCCGCCCCCCAGGCTCTACTGAAGGCCACCAGGCCAACCCGCATGCCCGAAACGCTGGCCAAGATGACGGGTGTGCTGAGCGGCACCACTCTGGAGTCGGTCGGGTACTTCGCCAACATCATCCAGCCGCTCAATGAGCTGCCAGCGTACAGCTTCAAGGTGCTGAAGATTGAGCACCGCGAGAACTTCCAGTTCGAGGACGTCCAGGTAGGCACCCTCGCGACCGAGTATGGCTGGATCAGAGCTGTTTACACCAAACTGATCAAGCTCCTGCCGGGTAAAACCCCCGAGCAGCTGCGCTTGGCCATGCCAAGAGCGCCGCCAAGGGACGACGAGGAGATGGCACAGCTGCCCCATGAGAACGGGACCACCACCGCCAGGGACTTCGCCCGGCCTGACGAACCGCCCAGGCCTGTGCAGCGCCGTGCGACACTGAGAGAGACGACGCAGGACTTCTTCACCAACCCCACAATGGCCCTCAGCGGCGAGCGTCCCGCCGTGCCGCCCAAGCTCTGGTCCCCAATCCATATCCTGAGCGTATTCTCCTGCTCCATCAGCATAGCCATTGTAGCCTGTGGCATCGCTTGGAAGGATGGAAACGCAATCATCTCTGTTACTCTGATCTCGCTCACCTCCACCATTGTTGGCATTGCATCGTTCTGGCGCCCGCGGCTTATGAAGCGCAGGCATAACAACAACGTCCCCCCTGGCGATGTCATGATCCGCACTCGCGAGGGTGCCTTCCTCCTCATCAAGTGCACCGAGGATGTCGCCCGAGAGCTCTACTCCGGAACCGAGGAGTGCGACTACTACGTCGGGGAGCGCACGTACCGCCTCCTGATGGGCATCGCCACCACCTTACTGATGGTCAGTGTTGTCCTGCTCGGTAACTGCACGTGGGACCTGCAGATGTTCATCGCGGGCACCTACATCCTCCTCAACGGCCTGTACTGGGCCCTCGGCATGCTCCCCCGCTCCTCCTTCTGGGACCTGTCGCGCTACAAGTGGGAGGACATCACCAAGGAGGACGCCCAGAACGCCGAGAGCGTCACCGACCCCAACGACCAGCGCGAGGGCCACCCGAGCTTCACGCGCACGCTGTGGTACGCCATCCGCGAGACCAAGAGCGTCGGCTGGGTGCAGACGAGCGGCGCGGCCCCCGTGAGCGAGCACTGGAAGGAGTGGCTGCGAGAGGCGCACATCAACGCCAGGGAGGGCAACCGCGACTGGAATGCGGTCGAGAGGAAGAACCAGATCATGAACACGATGAATGAGGAGACGGAGCTCGGCGACCTGGCGGGCGAGACGGCGCCGGCCACGCAGGTTCTGAGACCCGGTGCCGTCGAGGGAGGTTAAGACTGCTGCTTCTGACTTCCCCCACGCTTCGCTTCTATTCTTACGTTCCCTAATGTCTAATGAAGCGAACTGCATAACATGTACACTTTAAAAAATCATCATATAAGGACCGATATGGATACTGAGATTAAAAGGGGGGTTATCTAGGTATTTAGTTGGTCCTTTTCACGAGTGAATGAGCCAATTTGGGCATAAACAAGCGGCAATGGTTACTAGTACAAAAGGATGAAAATATATGATTTCGATTTCGATCTAACTTTTAATCTTCTATGGAAAAAATGCATGTATTATATCGAAGGGGAAAGAAAGAAGAGTTGCTCACTAACGGAACGCTCTTAAACTCAGGACCTTGATATGCCCCCCAATCTTTATATATTGAAAAAACGCCAACCTCCCAGTAACAACGCCCCGAAATTAATTCGTATTCATAAAGGGGGAGGAGGTATCATGAGAGATTCCGGGATAACAGGGTGTATGCCGACCACAGGATAACCGGTTTTCTTTCATAAAATGCCCTTAATTTTGTTTTGTTGCCCTCCCAGCTTTAATCCTCGAAGTAGACGCTCTGGTTCTCGTGGATGTTGATGGGCCCGCCGCGGAAGCTGCCCTTCTTCTTCTTGTTCTTCTCCTTGGTGAAGCCCTTGCCCTTGGTGACGATGAGGTCCTCGTGCGCGCGCTGCGAGTAGGCGATGTTAACGTACTCGTTGGAGGCGAAGCGGGGGTCGACCTTGATGTCCCTGGCGATGCGGGAGAAGGGCACGTTTTGCTTCTTGCCGTTCCTCTTTAACTCGGTCGGATCGGGGGGCAGGGGAGGGTCGACCAGGGCGGAGGATGTTGGGGCGCCGGTGACGGTCACGGAGGAGTCTGAGGAGTCGGACTTCTTGACCTTGGCTAGTTTCTTGGATTTCTTGGTTTTGGCGTCAGAGTCGGATGATGAGTCGGAGTCGGAGTCAGAGGATGATGAGGAAGAGGAAGAGGACGACGATGAGGAGGAAGAGGAAGAGTCGGAATCTGAGGAACTGTCGGAGGAGTCAGGGAGGGCGACCTTGGAAGCCTTCTCGACCACAGCCGAAGCGTCTGACTCCGAGTCGGACTCAGAATCCGACGAGGAGGACTCAGATTCAGAAGACGAAGAGGATTCGGAGGAGGAGGAAGATTCTGAGGAGGAAGACTCGGAGGACTCTGAGGAAGACTCCTCACGCCTCTGCCTCTTCGCCCTAGGCTCCTCGTCCTCAGATTCTGAGCTCGACTCGGACTCGCTGGAGCTCGATTCAGATGAGCTGGAATCGCTCTCGGCAGCCTTCCTCTTCAGACTCTTCTTCTTCGTCTCGGGCTCGCTCTCATCGTCACCCTCGCTACCAGAGTCATCAGCGTCGTCGTCGCTGCTGGCGTCCTTCATGTCAACATCGTCGTTGATGGCCTTCTTCTTGGGTGCGGCGGCGGGCTGAGAAGCTTCCCAGGTCTGGAAAATGGCCACAAGGGACGTGCTTCCAGCCGCGGGCAACTCCCATCCGTTCTTCTCGACCTGCTTCTTCAAGGCGCTGCGGACCGAGTCCAGCGAGTATTCGGAGAGGAAACCGTCAACCAGACCGAGGAGCTGGCTAGGTGGGGGGATATTCGCGGCGGCGGAGGCCTTGGCCTTTGCGCCAGAACTCTTCTTTTCCTTCTTAGCCATGGTTGTGGAGGTGATCTGGGGGTTGGAGGAGTTGTTGGAGAAGAGCCACGAGGGTGGGCTATTATTCGTGCCGGGCATGTGCTGGAAACAGAGACCAAAATCTGATTGACCGTGTCGTCGAATGTATCGCGACCCAAGCTATTCAATTGGGTATCCAGGTGTGTTTTGCGGCAATGCAGGCCCAGCAAGTTAGGAAGGGTCGAACAGCGGTAACGAATTACTCGGCGCAAAAAAAAGGCAGGAAAAAAAAAAGGTGTTTTCCTTATCTTATCAGTGGCACCCCCACCCCCACAGTCGGAAGAGTGGCCTTACCAGCTTGTGCACAGTGATACCACAGCACACATTGACCCACGAGTGTGCAGGCTGATTACCTAGGTAGGTACTTACCTATTGATCGGGCTGTTCGTACCTGGTCTCCATTTCTCTCCGTCTGCTAAGCTTTAAATCCAACCTAATTCTCGAGATCAAGGCTAAGAATATATCTCCGAAGTAACACCTTCTGGTTCTTGTTCCTTTGTAATTTTGGGGTTTCGAGACTGTAGGAGCAAGACTCATCAAGTACTATCTAGTAAGCAAGGTCGGGCGCGAATGCATACGTTTTGTGCTTAGTCTTGATTGGTTGTTCAGTGAAAGTGAGGCTGTGAAGTAACGAATATTTCTGCAAGGCAGGCGGCAAGGCATCTCTGCCACCTCCGCAGTGAGACTATGCCCTTCTTTACCACAGATAGCATCTCTCCAAACGCTCCTCAAAAGAAGAAACGAAAAATCTATCACTCATATTTACTATTCCGAATATATCATAGATCGAAACTCGGCAGCCGAAGCGTCGCCAGATGGAGGAGACAGGGAGTCCCACGGGACAAGCGCCGATCGTGTCCTTCGCTTTGAACGTGATTATCAACCCCCAAAATCCTCGCCTAGAGTACTATTCCAGATATCGATTTCTCTATTTGGTGATAACCTAATGTTTTCTAGCATCGTCTTTGTGCATGGCTTCAACGGCCACCCTGAACGAACCTGGACGGATAAGACCGCCGAAGCTACATCCAGGAACGAGTCTCGTAGCGACGAGCGAGGTCGTCCATCAAAATTTCGAAAACTAATGCCTGGGTCGAGACAAATAAGTTCCGTTTCTCACGATGGTCCCGTTTTTTGGCCCCGGGATTTGGTTCCCAAAATCGTCCCCGATGCACGAGTCTTGAGTTATGGTTACGATACCAAAATCCAGCGATTCTCTGGGCCGCCCGTCAGCACTCACACCGTGTACGACATATCCAATGATTTCTCTATCGCACTCGAAGCTGAACGACAAGATGAGCCGAAGAGGCCTCTCATATTCATTGCTCATAGTCTGGGGGGGATAATTGTTAAGGACTTGCTTCGCAGGTGCGGTCAGTCCTCCGACCAGAGCCATCTACACATTCGTCCGATTTTTGAGTCTACTATCGGTATCATGTTTTTCGGCACTCCACACTCCGGTGCAGACCCGGGTGGCTCGCTTATTCACTTTGGAGAAAGAGTTCTCAAAGCTCTGGGTCATTCTGTGAACGAAAGTATCCGGGCTTCCCTCCTCCCAACATCAGAACGCCTGCGCGAGCTGCGGGACGTTTTCGGCCCAATGGCTCGTGAGCGCCGGTGGAAGATACATTCCTTCCAAGAGCAATACGGTTTCATGGCCCTTGGCGGTCAGAAGGTACGTTGCGCTTAGAAAATGATACCAGATGGTGCTAACCTAATGTCAAGGTTGTGGAGGACACTTCCTCATACGTAAATATTCCCGATCTCGAAATAGTTGAGCATATCAATCAAGATCACAGCAAGATGTGTCGCTTCTCTATATTAGACGACCCTGAATTCGGGAAAGTTAAAGCAGCCATAAAACGAATGCTACTGGATATACCAGAGAAGGAAATCGAGCCACAGGTTTCAGCCTTCACGAGGGCACCTCTCACAACAACTCAAAAAGAAGAAATCTTGGAATCGCTTAAGTTCAACCAAATCGATGCACGGGTTTCTACAATCGAAAAGGCCCACAACAAGACATGCAGATGGATACTTCGCACTCAAGAATATCGCGATTGGACCAACCCCAACAAAACCCGTGCCCATCAAGGCTTTCTGTGGATGAAAGGAAACCCGGGGACTGGAAAATCCACTTTGATGAAATTTGCTTATAACGCGGCCAAAAAGAACAGAGGGAAGAATTCATTCATATTTAATTTCTTCTTCAATGCACGGGGAACACCGCTGGAGAGATCAACAACTGGGATGTATCGGTCATTGATCGTGCAGATTCTCGAAAAGTTTCCCAAGCAAACGTGCGTCTTCGACTCGCTTGAATTAGGTGCTAGGATTGTGCCTAGCTATATATGGGCCATCGAACCTCTGAAAGAATTGCTACTAGAGGTCCTTCTAACATTAGAAGAAATAGCCATCATATTCTTCATCGACGCTCTGGATGAGTGTAATGAGGATGAGATTAGAAACATGATCAAGTTTTTTGAAAACATAGGACAGGAACATCCATCAATAAACTTGAGCATATTCTTCTCCAGCCGACATTATCCACATATCACCATCGATTTTGGCCTCAGCCTATGTCTTGAGGAGCAAGATGGCCACAGTAATGATATAACAGATTATATCCAGAGTGAACTCAGGATCGGCAAGAGCAACACGGCAAAAGGAATACGCGAGGAAGTTCAAAAAAAAGCCCATGGCGTTTTCATGTGGGTTGTTCTTGTTGTGGCTATTTTGAACAAGGAATATGACAACGGCAATATGCATACACTTAAGCGGCGCCTAAAGGATCTTCCCAGTGATCTTTACACGTTGTTTGAAGACATCATCTTGCGAGACGATCGAAACCGGGATAGCATGCTTTTGTGCGTCCAGTGGCTTCTTTTTGCCAAAAAACCTTTGAGTCCAGAACAACTTTACTTTGCTATCAGACACGGTCTTGAGTCTACTCCCCCAGAGCCGTGGGACCAAGACGAAATCACCCGAGATACCATTCAAAAGTTTCTACTCCATTCATCCAAAGGGCTCGCTGAAGTTACCAAGTCGGAACAGCCCACTGTCCAATTCATCCATGAGTCTGTCCGCCAGTTCTTCCTCCAGAACACCGATTTGGTAAAGATCTGGCCTGAAATCGACACGAGATTCGAGGCCAATAGCCATGAAAGGCTGAAATACTTTTGCCTTAGCTACAGTAATCCTGAGCTGGAATTCTTCTACTCTTTTGGCCAAAACCCTATAATGTCCGTGAAGGAGCTACATTCAAAATTTCCTTTGCTCGAATACTGTGTTCAAAATCTTATCCACCATGCCGAAATGGCAGCAAATGGAGGTGTTGACCAGCTTACATTCGTTTCTTGCTTTAACCACTCTGAATGGATTAGGAAGAACAATATCTATGATATTAGCCAAGTACGGCAATATACACCGATGGCAAGCTTGCTGTATATATTGGCTGAGGCAGACGCATCTCATCTAATCCAACACTGTTCCTCGACTGAGACTTCAACAACGCTCTCATGCCTCAAGGTAGAGGACGAGAGATACGGCTGTCCATTTTTTGCCTCAATTGCTACGTCGAGCCTCAGCGCTTGCGATAAATTATACGACATAATGGCTCCGTCCCAGTCAGAGAATGCCTTGGCTCTGTCAGCAGAGGCTGAATCTCCCCATCAGAAAAGGCCATGCTTCACGCTGAGTTCCAGATTCAACTTCTCAAAAAGTAAAACGTTGTTGGAACAGGCAGTTGAATTTGGGAGCAAAGATCTTGTTGCATTTCTTCTTCAGCATGATATACACACCTCAAAGGCTGTCGGTTATGACACCACCCCTCTCTTGCATCTTTCCGCTCAGAAAGGTCGTACGGAAATCTTAAAGGTCCTGTTAGAAAGCGTCAATGGCAACCCAGAATCACAGGATGCATTTGGGAGGACTCCGCTCATGTCTGCTGCTTCAGGGGGCCATCACCACACCGTCCAAGCCCTCCTTGACATAGCCAAGGTCGATCCAAATATGACAGACCCATACGGAGACACCGCAATCTCACTTGCTATTCAGACAAATAAGAGGGAAGTCATTGAGGTTCTACTTAGGGCAGACAAGCTCGACCCGAATATTGCGGACACAGGTGGAAGAACTCCTCTATCATGGGCTGCCCAAAAGTGTAACTCAGAGGTGATCAATGCTTTTCTTGCGATAGATAAGGTTGATCTAAACCTTGCGGATAGAGATGGCAGAGCTCCTATATCATGGGCTGCACAAAACTACAATTCAGAGGTGATCAAAGCTTTTCTTGCGACAGGTAAGGTTGATCTGAACCTTGCGGATAGAGATGGCAGAACTCCTCTATCATGGGCTGCTCAAAACTACGAAACAGAGGTAATTAAAGCATTTCTTGCAACAGATAAGGTTGATCCGAATCTTGCAGATAAAAATGGAACAACTCCTCTATCATGGGCTGCTCAAAAGCCTACGCCAGGGGTAGTGAAAACTTTACTTGCAACAGATAAGGTTAACCCGAACCTTGCAGATAATAATGGAAGAACTCCTCTATTTTGGGCTGCTCAACATTGGAGCCCGGAGGTAACTAAAGCATTTCTTGCGGCAGATAAGGTTAATCCGAATCTTGCAGATAAAAATGGCGAGACTCCCTTATCATGGGCTATTAAGAATGACCGCAAGACGATTGCTATTTTCCTGCTGGGGTCGCCTAAAGTTAGTGGCAATCTTGAAGATCATGCGGCCTGGCTTTCTGCATCAATTCCCCGATCTTGTTGGGGCCGATCGAATTCCTACAAGTCAACGCCTGCAAGGCAGTCATAAGGGCAAGCGAAGCTACCGAGGGGGTGGGGGGTCAGCGTGGATAAGATCTGGGTTACATGATGAAGGCAGCCTGAAGCTACAGATAGGTATTGATGATATTTATGAGAGTCAGCGTGGATAGGGTTAGACTTACCTACTTGAGGCACCTCGATGCTGTAGCTATTGATCGTACCTATTTATCAGCATCGCGGCGGATAGGATTAAACTTACCTGCTTGAGGTAGCTTGAGGGGAGGCTGTAGCTGTGGTCGTGTTTATAAGGGCGAGGGTACATAAGATCAAGGAAAAGCAAATAGCAACGCGCGTATATGGGTAGAGGTAGGTAGCTAGAAAATGGCAGTTAGGTACATAGCAAGTCATGATGTTGCTTAGACCAATCAATAGGTAGCTGTTATTTCAAAACTAACTAATTGCTAGTTAGTATCTCAAATTATGTGATGCCTTAACGTCCTATTATAGAAATGAAATTAGAAGTTACACTCCGGCTACTGGCTTCACATATCATCAAGCTTCGCTTGAATAGAGCCCGGTATGAAATACAAAAGCCGAGGCTCGTTTCGATCCTGCACCCTATAGCAATGACATCCAATCATTAAAACTTTTAAATGTCTGCCCGGGGGGCGCTGGTGCCGAATGAACGACCTTGATAACTTAAGTGGATGTCCAAATAAGTAATCATGAAATAAATAGCTTCTCATTCTTCATCTGCATTATTTCAACTTTGAGCAAGCTTTGACCTATTAGCAAAGAGCGAGGCTAGTAAGATCCAGACCTGATAATCTTATATAGAACATCGTATTATTTATTTTCCACCCCTGTGAATGCCTCTACTTGCACCCATAAATGAAATACGTGTCTCATTTCTTCGTGTTGTCAGAGAGGTCATGTTGACACGTTAAGATCGACTATTAGAGAAAGGAAGAGCCATTAATAATCATGCATCGTTCTCTGTTTAAATCATCAATTTGAAGGTACTTGGAACTGTTCACAGTGACTGTGTTTTTTTCTTCGCCATGTGTGAGGTAATAAGCATTCTGGACAAATAGGCATGCACTTCAGACAAAGGCCCTCGTTCTATTCGACGGACAATAAGGAGGCTTAACAGTGTCTTAGGGTAACATGAAATGTGCGCGATTAAATCATGAATTACATGTCTCAAATTTATTATTTTGCTTGAGTTTGATTATATGTCATGAATTGAGTCCCACGGAAGTCGTCCTCTTACCTAGGTAATTAGCTTATCAGCTTATCAGCAACCTAAACACTGGTTGGCGAAACAACCGAGTTCGGCAAGCAACCTCACCAAAGCCAATCTACCCCGTCGCCTCGTTTCAGCTCTACTTTGATAGTTTATCGACCTCAAAAGCCAAGCCAGACATCTAGATCTACTCTACCGATACAACAAACTTTTCTACACTCCAGGAAGGGGCCCTTTGCGCCGTCGACAAAGAGTTTTGTTTATCCCATGTTTCCTACAAAAACAGCCTAAGAAGTGCCGAAAACATGAACTCGACGAAGAGGAAATTCAACAACCTACTCCAGGGCCTCGGTCGCTCTTCGAGTGATCGTCAGAATGCCGACGCGACAAGTTCACGGCCCCCGGGGACTCCACAGAAAACGAGCGACGTGGAGAGCTTCCTCGACAAACGGCGCAGGCTGGGCCTCCCTCTGTCCAACTCTCCCGTTCAAAGCAATCCCCCGACTCCCGGGAAAGGGGGATCGCCTTCCTCGACCGTTGGAACGAGCCCGCGACGGACCGAATCGAAACGAGAGCCCGAGAAACCGCTGGCCAAATACTGCCCGGGTGACCGCAGTGAACTCCTCCGACGGCTGGCTACTTTCCAAGAGCTCACAGACTGGACATTCAAACCTGATAGAGTGAGCGAGATTGAATGGGCAAAGAGAGGTTGGATTTGCAAGGGCAAGGAAACGGTGCGCTGTGTGCTGTGCCACAAGGAGCTCGTCGTCAAGCTCAACAGGAAGAACGTCGACGGAAAAGAAGTCCCTGTGCTCGTTTCCTCGGATATCGGTGCGCGCTTCTCCCTATTTCTATCACAACATCAGTCTTTGCTAACAGGTCACAGAGGAAGGACTCATTGAAAAGTACGAGGAGCTGATTGTCAGCGCACATTTTGATGATTGTCTATGGCGGAAACGGGGCTCGGAAAGTTAGTGATACCTGCTATGTCTCCTAGCCAATTTTTTACTAATGACTCGATAGATTCTCTCCTTCGTCTTCCACTGTCTAGTACGACTAGTGCTCTCGAGGAACTCCGAGTCCGATACGATGAATTATGTTCGCGTGAATCCTTCCTACCGTACGAATTCAACATACGACTCCCGGAGGGCTTGGATCTGGGTGACGTGCTGGCCAGTCTACCTCCAGACTTCTTCAAAAAGAGCGAACAAGCCTCTATCAAAACACCGAATCGGCCAGCGTTAGCATTGGCCCTGTTAGGGTGGCAAGGGTTATCCAATGCACGCATTGGTCCAGTGCCCAACTCAGCCTCTTGTCAAACTTGCCTAAGGCGCCTGGGGTTGTGGATGTTCAAGAGTAAGGAAGTGAATGAGGATGGTGAGGTCTTGGTCCCCGCACCGATGGACCATCTCGACCCTGTTCGCGAACATCGTTTCTTCTGTCCTTGGAAGAACCAGGACACACAGAAGCGATCCAACGCAAAAGCCTCGGAGGGTGAGGCTCTGCCCGGCTGGAAGATTCTACTTCAGACTATCAAGAATGAGTCGAATCTACGAGATTTGTACGCAGGCCGGTCAAAGAGTCGGCCCAAGTCGATGCACGCTCCCAGCAACCCCTCCACACCTATACGGCGGTCGCATGCTAACCCAGTCACACCGGTTGCTGGGGACGCTTCGGCAGTCAATGATTCACCCCATTTCGCTTCCCAGCTAGATGCTGAGGAATATGACGAAAAGGCGCAGGATGAGGAGGATAAGGCTCGCTGGGCGAGACTGAAGAAAGTGAAGACTCTATTTGACATTAAAGGAGCAAGGAAGCGGATGTCGATCAGCCGTCCTGGCACAAGTCATTCAACCGCTACGACAGGTGATGGGAAATAGGGGGAAATGGAGATAGGATAATATGGATGCTGGCCGCCAATTCAAAGCGATACAGTATTTGCAGGTTATACAGACTGCTCATTTGGAGGGTTAGAGCAGCAGTCATTTGCTGCTGCAAATTATCCCAGCAGTCAATTGTGGTTTCGGTTTTGTGTGATTTGTACATCAGGTGTTAGTCATAAGCGGTCACGGCGGTTTCAAAGCATGTTTCAATTTCGTTCATGAAGCAAATGGCATACTCAATAATATACAAGGTCTATTCGATAATATACAACGTTAGAAGCATCTAAAGCTGGGCATAGCATATCATGCTTCTGGAGTATCAAATGATACAACGTGGTCGAGGTTACCTCTGACCGAAGTGTCCTTCTGGAAAGGCTTGGTCAGATCGAACCCAGCCAACTCCAAGATAGCTTTTCGAGCGCCTCCCAGTCCGCCTCCGTTGCCAACACTGGCCTGGAACTCCATCCCTGGAGCCACGACGTGTATGTCCGGCATCCATCCATTATTTCTAACCCATCCGTTGTCAAGCCTTACGTCGAGGCTGATCATCTCCCGACGAACCTGCCGAGCACGCTCTGCAGCTACTTCTTCCCACCTTTTGGGGAAGTACTGTGCCCCGGTGAGGATAACGCTCGTGTTGACCTTTTTGTGAGCGAGATGGCGCAGCACCCACCTGTCCATCTCGCGAAAGGGTTTCGATAGTGAGAGGAGGAGGATGGCGCCCTTGAGATTCTCCCGCTTGTCCAGATAATTCACCACCTCTTTGCCCCAGGAAGGACGCTTGATGAGGGCGTATTCAGGAGTATCCGCGAGAATGAACCCGTTCTGCGGTCTTGACATTATGGGCAGGTCTTTCCCATATTGGGATCCGACGGGGAAATTGACCCCGTACATAGTCATCTTGATGACCTCGTCATGTAAAGAGTCAACACCGTAGTTGTCGGGGAGTCCAAACAGACCGTTGATGAATGTGGCCTTTCGAGTTCCCATGGCACCGATGAGTGCAACCTCCGGTACAGCCGTGTTTATAGCATGCTCACTCAGCCTAGATGCAGAGTAGAGCTCTTGGTAAGCCTCACCAAAATACTGCTGGGCTGTGGACATCATTAAGTCATCCTCGGGGGCAATGGGCGCGGGTATGTCCGAGCCTTCCCTATAGCAGATGAAGTCTGATGAGAGGGTCTTGGCCACCATGATACCTTTTAGACCTTGATGCCGCTGCCGCGACTTGGATAGAGTCTTGGATTTCTCTGGCGGCCTTGACGTCTCATGGGCTCTCCCATGGACCTTGGCATAACGGAGTTTCATGGGCCCTGGCGGGTGTCGTCGTACCACATTTTTTTCCTCCTCAGCGACTAGTCTTTGCTCCTCAGACAATTGTCTCTGCTCCTCGACCACTGCTTTTAACTCCTCAGCCGAGTATCGTTCCTCTTCAGCCATTTGCCTTTGCTCCTCGACCACTGGTCTTGGCTCTTCAGTCACTGGTTTCTGTTCCTCCCACTCATAAGGCAACCGTCTGGGTGACGACACATTAGGCTTGGGGTGATTCGAACCGTCTGCGGGACTGTGGTAGCTGCGTGCGAGTGCAGCAGCCTCATTGACCTGAACCAAGCGCGGTTGTCGGGCATTTTGTAGCAGGGGCTGGAGGCCCCAGCCAAATGACCTTAACTCACGCCATCGACACGACCTTATCCTGTGCATGCCTCGTCTCCTCAGCGTAGCGGCCCAAGTCTGGCGAATTTACAACTCCGGCAACCTACTGCCCGGCGGAGAGAAGCGATTCGTTCAGTCAGGATATCGGAGAACTCCATCTGCAAGGCTGCATGTGCTTATGTCAGCCGAAATGCACCTACAACCACCCTAAACCACCAAGTAAAAATCCCCATCAGGTCGAAATGGACCTGGAATAGCGATTGATAGAATCCTCAACTTCAAGCAAAGAACTGGCGAAAGTAAAATAAAGCCAAAAACATAAATCATCTGCGAGGTAATATAAGGGATTTCGCAGCTCATCTTGTCTGACTTTGGCACAAGATTTCATATTCACCTTGTGAATCTCATTCAAGTGGGGTTTTCACAGATCATCCGATCATTGGGCTGTGTAAAAAGGCGACAAAACAACATGACAATCAACTTGGGGGACTTGGATGCTCATGAGCAGCCCTCTGACGAGCTGAGGGCGGAGTGGAAATCGTTCTCGAAAAAAGAGCCTGCTGAGCTGCTCAACGAAACCAAGCTCGACGACCCTAGACTCCCTCTCTCCCAGACTGGCTTTGTCTCGGCAGGATCGATATCAAAGAACCAACTCACAGATGCTTTTAAGCAACTCGGCATATCTCAAGAGGTTCAAGAAGATGCCCAGATTATTCACCATCCTCTTCTTCCAGGTTTGAGCCCCTCTCCTCCTAACTCATATTTGAGTTCCCTTCATATAACTCAACTAACAAGCCGCATCCCAGGACTCCTAATTCTGCCAAATCTCATCCCTGAGAACGTCCAGCAGAAGCTGCTAGAACTCATGATCCACCGCGATCTCAGCAACCCAAACCACCAAACAAACATGCACCTCCACTTCAACGTCCCCTACGAGTCCCTGGCACCGGGCGCCTCCTTCTTCTCCCACGGGCCCGACTCCCCCGCCGCCCACTTCAACCCCAAGGACCCCTCCGTCCACCGGCCCCAGTCCCTCCGCCAGGTCCTCAACCGCAAGCTTCATTGGGTCACCCTGGGCGGGCAGTACGACTGGACCAACCGCGTCTACCCGGACGCCGAGCCGCCCCGGTTCCCGGCCGACATCGCGGGCTTCCTTCACTCTCTCTTCCCGGAGACGCAGGCCCAGGCCGCCATCGTCAACTTCTACACTCCGGGTGACACCATGATGATGCACCGCGACGTGAGCGAGGAGTCGGACAAGGGGCTTGTGAGCCTGAGCCTCGGATGCGACGGCATATTCATGATCGCACCCAGCAAGGGCCCGCAAGGCGAGGGGGAGGAGGAGGACGCCTCTGCCACGAAGCTTTCATCGGAGGCGTATGATACCGCCCAGGGTAAGGGGTACCTCACGATACCGCTCCGGTCCGGCGACGCCATCTACATGACTAACGAGTCGCGGTATGCATGGCACGGCGTGCCCAAGGTCATCAAGGGGACGTGCCCGGCACATCTCGAGAACTTCCCGGCAACCGAGGATGGGCAGTACGAAGAATGGCGCGGTTGGATGAAGAACAAGCGTGTAAATCTCAACGTGAGACAAATCAAGTAAATTGAAGACCAACCAGTATGATTATTATGAGCGACGAACAAGGAGAACCGGTAAAAACACCTTTGAATGCTATCCATTAAGAATCATAGGCATCGTGCAAATACCTTATTTGTGTAACGATCAAAGCAAGGGTCAAAGGCGTTTCCCATGCGTAAAAGATATATTCATAGTATTGGGAAGGCAAAGTGCGCTATATGAAATCGATTCTTATTATCCCATGCAGTGCCTATCGCTAAGTATCCAATCGCTTAGTGCCCATCGCTTAATACCAGAAAATGGTGTAGATAGTAGAAAATGTTATACACATGTTACGCCTGTTATTCCTCCAGTACCCATCTATGCAAACCCAAACCCTTGAGAATTTTGTAGCGCCATTCCAAGGCGCTCCCGAAGCACCTCCTTGTCCCTGTATTCGGGCAACAAAAGTGTTCCATAGCATGTATATGCCGTGGGCAAGTGGCCGCCCTCGCCCTCTTCCTCACCATTTTTTTGTACCACAAATTGTAAATTACGCATGCCACCAACGGGAACTCTGTCGGATGCGGTAACAAATTCGAGTAGCCGACGCTTCATGTTGTCATCATAGCGCTTGACAATCGACCAGAAATCTTTAATTGTGCGATGCGATGCGTTCCAGCCGACATATCGCGTGTACTCTCGCAACTCCGAAATATTGATATCTTGAACGCCTTCAACGAGAGACTGCAGAATTGGGGGTGTCAAGAGCGTCAATGATTTCGCATCTAGGCACGAGCGAAAGCCTCTCTGAAATGCGCCAAACTGTGGCCCAACGGAGACGCTCGTCAGGTACCGAATGTAGTCATTCACGTACTCATGACGGTTGCTTCCGGTGACAAGCGGCGCCTCTTCACCTGCCTCGGTAGGCGAATCAGGTGAAGATTGTCCAGTTTGTGGCCATGGAGAGTCCCCTTGAGTCATATCCCGACTGAAATGGCTTCCGTATGTAGCAACGGAAAACTCGTATGTTCTAGCAAAGATATCTTCGACAGCTCCGTCTCTTTCATCCCAGTCCTGAAGAGTTGTTAGTCCGCTGGTGAGATCTGGCCAGCCATCCTCAATGTGAGCAAGTTCCGTTACAGGCCAGCCCAGCAACTTCCGATAAAGAGCCTTGGGGAAGGTCACTGGTAAAGTCAACCCGTTGAAGACGGCAAGCGAGACTAGCAGGCCGAAGAGCTCGAATTTCCAGGTCTCCACCACTGAGCCGGGGGCAAACCACGACATCCTTGTCCGGTCGTCAGTAGTAAATGCGCCGTACACTGGTTCCAGGAATTCACCGATAGCCATGCGGAAAAATTCCTGTTGGACACCGCCCGAATCGAAGCCTTCTTCCCCTCCGTCTTCTCCAAGGCGCACCTTCAGAGGTCGAAGAAGTTCTCGAGGTTCCCTCCGCCATAATTGGTCGAACGCATCTCTCAGGACATGTTTCCGATCGACAGAGAGGACTAAGTATTTGGACGATGCAGTCTTGAGCATATCCTGAAGCACGGTCTTGTGGTGTGGGTTTGTGATGAGGCTTCCTGGGTCAACAATTACACTCATCCGAGTCTTGAGCGAGCTGGATTCCTCATACGCTCGGTTCATCCTGGAGAAGTTGATAGACCGGAAGAAAGAAACAAGGGTCTCTGGAGTGAACAAGAAAGGATAATCCAGTAAATGTCTGGTGTTCTGGTCGTACTCGGATTTGGCCCATTTGATGGGGACGTCCATCGAGTCAAGTCTTTCTGAGAGATAGTCGAAGCGGTATCGGGATTCACAAAGAGGGAGAAGCTCTCGTCGTTTATCTACACACCATCTGGGTCAGATAATTGTCCACTAGTAAAGTTATCAAGTCACGGGTAACACTTACGCATCGAGCCAATGAAGGACAGCGCCCCAGAACTGGGGCTATTGGCTGCAAAATTTGGGTTTCCATCCCAGTCATCGAGCAAAACTGTCTTCGCCCAATCCAAGGCAAGACTTTGCACTCGTTTTTTGTGTGTCAGACGCTCTGCGACTGGAAACTCCAAGACGGGTGCCGAATCGAGGCCGGATAAGCCAATCTGGTGTAGAAATGGCTTCAGTATGTCAATTTTGCTCTTGGTTTTATTGGGTTCCCCCTTCATACTCCCCACTGCCGCAGCAAAGTGATGCCACACTTCGACAGCTCCACACAAACGCCGGGCTAGCCTGATTGCAAGACTGTTCGAGAAAGCATCATCGAAGTCCTCTCGAAACCAGTATGGTAGTTCTGAGGAATCATACAGTGCACTCGAGGCAAGCCCCCGTGATCGGATTCGCCACATTTCGGCTAGTTGCCTTGTGTCTGAACAGAAAGGAACACTTGCAATTAAAGCATGCAAGCAAATTGACAAGATGCATCCAGCTTCTAGTTCTGAGAGAGTCCTCTGGCGGGTTCCTGTAACGTTGGCTTTCTGGAGTCTAGCACTCCGTACGGACTTTGGAGGTAAAAAGAGGCTTCCAGCTGCGATCCAGAGACTGTGAAATACGAGGTTGGGCGCTGCTCGAGTCAAACGAAGCATACAATGAAAGAGCGTCTGCGAGTCCAGCAATATGCCGTCGACTGTAAAAGACTGGATAAGAGACTCCGGATTGCTGAGAACATGGAAGAGAGTCTGCTCATTGAAGGCTTTCCATTGTCGCTTAGGAATAGGTTCGCGGGGCCACTGCGTTCTCTCTAGGCGAATATACTTTCTCTGGGGTTGAGGAACAACCTCTGTCGACTCAAGACCATAGGGAATAGCTCTCTCAGAAGTGCTGTCTTCATCAAACACATCACAAATAAAGTCGATGACTCTAGCGGTCAGGTGCGTCAAAGATTGAGGTAAGGGGCATTCAATCTCAGAGTCGGACATTTCAGAATCCGAAAGCTCGGGTTTCAGTTCCGCTACCTCCAGCCTTTGGCTCTGCGCATTGATTCCGGTTTTGATCTGACATTCCGACGTAGGTATTGGCTGGCTATCCGAAGAGTGACTTCGGGGACTCTCAGGTGGTTGAAGTCTGGGAGAGGTTGCAGGAGGCGCAATATTATCGAAAAACACAGGCTTGAGGGGAATATCAGGAATACTCCTGGTGACCCCCGCCGTAGAATTCGACTTTGGGGGCCAGGCGAGCTTATCTGGCTGGAATGCAGATATCCTTGGGGATTTCGTTGGTGATCTAGGCTCGTCCATCGTGGGAGTCGGTGTCGGCGGCTCTAGCGACTTTCTCCTCCGTGGCCTCGACGATGATTGAGGCGTTCGAAATGTAGCCTCAGAACTGTGTCGAGATTTCACAGGATCCTTTGGTGATGGAGACAGTGGCTCAACGGGTCCTAATCTCTCTGGTGGATCGCCACTGAGAAAGCTTGGGGTTCTTGAGGTTTCGGTTTTGGGTGACGCTGCGCTTGAGCCATCCCTGCTTGACTCTGCTCCTAGGACAATGGGGTGATCCATCTCGGTAAAATCAAGCTTCTTCGCGATTGCGGCGTGGCCTTGCGGAGTTAACCATTCGAGCATCCGGAAAGCAACAGTTCCAAACACGTTAGCAGCAAAAGAACGGTGGTCTTTACTCGCCGGTCGCTCTCGGACCTTGCAGTCAGTCCTTGGTGGTGAAAAGTGTTCATCGGACAAGGGAGGTTTGGAGCGTCGGCCTTCATCTTCGCTGTCGGATCTGATCTGGTTTCCATTTCGCGGCGATTTCGTACTCGGCGGAGAGCGTGGAGTTTTTTGCCCGCCATTTCGGGTCGAAAGACGCTGGCTTGATTTCGAGGGAGTTGAGTGCGATTGGATCTCCGGGCGTCTGACCTCAAGAGCAAGTCTGCCAGGTCGATTGGCGGGTTGGAATATGAGACCTTTCAGCATCGTTTCCGACGTCTCTTTGTGCTGTTGAAAGTATGGGCACAGCCCATCTTCGGGATTTTCTTGGCTGGCAAGATGAACGGCTAATATTCTCGCGCTCGAGGGGTTATATCGTCGAATTGGAGCCTTCCCGGCCAATCGTTTGCGACATGTAAAGCAAGTCGAGGTTGAGCACTGCGGTGACCCGCAGCCATGGCGAAGCTGGAAGATGTACCTAGACGTCGTGGAAGAGTCAGATAGGGAAATTCCCTCGGCGATGGGCTTCGTTTGAGAGAGTAGCTTACCTGTTGACCAACGACTGGAAACCATGCCGACGGCTTGCGCGATGGATAGCATAAACACGCCGGGGATCATGGATGTCTGTGACGTAGTCGTGAAGCTCGGGCGGTGCGTCTGGCGGCAACCTGACGAAGGGAGCCTCCAGCCAGAGCCCTGAGATCAGATCCAGGTCGAAATCCTCGACACCAGGGTCCGGGTGGCCGCGATGTGGCTGAGCGACGGGAGAGAAGGGCGAAGCCGCAGTCGCCATGGTGGACGATCGACGAGGGATGCGCCGCGAGGCGCTGTCCGGTTGTCTAGATCTCGCAGGCGAAATAGTCTCTAGTTGTGCGAAGGGAGAGCGGGCATACTGGTCAGAACGACACCCTCAAGAAGCATGAAGGTGAAGACGGAGAGGGGATGCACCAGGATGAGGATGGAACGTGTGGCGATGCTGGCCCAGGCTTCGGAGGTTAATGGCTGGAGGAATGGGAGCAGCAGGTTGGAGCCCCCTGGTCCGTCTCTGGTAATCGAATACGGCTTAGACACGGGCAGCGAGCGCTGGGGTATCCCAAAGTTAGGTGTAGGACGCTGCCGCCAGGAGGGTCTTTGGGCCTTGCTAGCCACTGCCCCATGTCCATACATTCCATCAGCCGTAGATGATCCTTGTACACGATACTTCCGGTCACACAGGCGGCCCACTTTGCCTGCTATTGGATGGGCGAGCCACCTTTGCAGTCTCAAGCGCTGAGACTGTCTTGGGCCAGCGTGCCGTGCCCAATCTTCGCCTAGGAGATCTCGAATGGGTCTGCTCATCTCCATGCGATTTGTCCATAGTCGACATAGTGCGGGCATCTGCCGGTTTTCGGCGCCGCGTCACAGTGATGCGTGGGTGGTGCCAACGCCCACCAGAGTGTGTGCTGACATGGAGAAGGGAAGTGGCATGTGTGCTCAGATCTGGGAAGGATGAACCCAGCGCCAGCTTGCATGGAAGCTTTCAGCCTCAAACCCTAAACTGGCTCGATAGTTGCACTACACTTACCAATTGCTCTCAATATTGAAGGCTTACAAAACATGTTTTTCTATCTGTTGACTTTGAAACGAATCGAAGTCAATTCACCTAGTACCTGCCTTAGCTACTTTGCGGGTGAAGCTACAACCCACACTATCAATGAGAATCAATTCCACAACCAGCTTTCTCGATAGCATCTTCCCAGAACAGATAGTCAAGGCGTCCTAGTCGTAGGAGTATACTGATTCTTATCAGTCAGAAAGCGTAGTTGCAAGCAGACCTGCATCAAGGTGTCTGTGGCATCGCAATTAACCTTGGCTTGCGTCAGCCACCTCACGAGCAGGTGCATAATTTGTTGCTTGCATTGTTGCTTCCATTCTTTCTCCTGCCATTGCTACCTTGCGGCCCCTTCTCTGTCTCAACACCGTCTTGGAGAGCTGGCACTATTCTATCAGAAGCTGGGTTGCCAGGGCCCTCTCACAGCTCCAACTAGCCGCCCAAGTGGGTGACATGAGAAATGAGACACCTAAGGGAAGAGTTGGCTATTAATCGACTACTTTCTGCAAGAAATAGAGAATTTCAGAAGTATAAAACAGAAGAGAGGAACAATGAATACAGTAATCTATATTATTAGGACTGAATAATCCGATAATACCGGCCGCAGACTTGGGAATAAGCAGCTTATTGTTTGAGTGTCTCAATTTCAATGTCACCCACTTGCCGCCCAAAACGACGGAAGGGTCCAGCACTTACCTACATATGAAAGTATATAGTACATTTGTGTCACGGTAGTTGTGGCGCTCTAATGGCACATCCTCCGTGCAAGCTCGTTGGTGGTATAGAGAAGGACAGTGGAGAGCCTGTTCCCTGCTAAGCGAGGGAGGACGACTCATTGAGTCATACGCTGAGTGACCCTCTTATTTGTCAGCACCCACCGAAGACGCCAGCTGAGACGAGAGGCGAGGAAATGATCATCATGCAGTTTGGTAAGATGTTGCAAGAATGTGTCATGCAGCTCGCCTGCCTAAACAATTACAGATATATCACAGAAAGAGCCAATAGAGTCCAGTCAACAGAACAAAAGCAAGAAGCAAATTGCTTTGGAACTGGCTCCTCGGCCTCTTCGCCAAGTCCGCCTTCGTCATATGATCAGCCTAGTCGGTCGCTATCGGCTTCTCAGTATCTCATTGATAAGATCAGCCCCGCCAACAACCCCGCCACCCACCGAACAGAAAAATGCAAAACCTCATTGTCACACCTGCACCTTTCTTCCCCTCGAAGTGACATAATAACCCAGCTGCGTCGTCGGATCTGCCGATCTCTGATTTCGGCCAACTTCACCACCGCCCAGTCAACCAAGGAACCAAACCTGGTGCATATCACGAGAAAATCTACCATCGCGGCACCACCCGACCGGCTTAGACACCATGGCGAGCACCGCTGCTCAGCCAGCCACATCGGCTTCCCATCCCTACACCTGCAATACGTGCCAAGTCGCCTACAGAAACATCGACTTGCAGAAGGGCCACATGAAGAGCGATTGGCAGTACGTGATATCAATTTTACCTTGATTTGAATAAATTAGAGATGCTGACATCCCTCTTTTAGTCGATACAACTTGAAACGTCGAGTCGCTTCGCTCCCTCCCATCTCTGCAGACGTTTTCACGGAAAAGGTCCTGCAGGCCCGAGCAGCTACCACGGCTGAGGCTGACAAGGTTCACTTCGAGAGAGCATGCGAGGCTTGCCAGAAGACCTATTACAGCGAAAATGCCTACCAAAATCACTTGTCCAGCCAAAAGCACAAGCTCAAGCTAGCCTCCTCCGGTAACCAGCGCCCTGATGATGAGACAACATCAGTTGTTAGCTCGACTTTCACATTGGGCGAGCCCATAGCAGTGCGCCGTGATTCTGTCGACTCTGCTGCTGAGGCAGAGTTCAACCAAGTGGTGGAAGGTTTCCAGCATGCCAAGATTTCACATGAAGAGCAGCGCCCTTCGCCCGTAAAGCGACCATCGAACCCCCATCCCGTCTCAGATAAGGCAACAGATGATGCTGCCGCCGATAGAGAATCAAACAACGCCACCCCTGTCCAGTCACAGTCAGAACCAACCTGGTCCTTGACATCCTGCATCTTCTGTAATTACAGCTCGCCAACAGTAGATCAGAACGCTCAACACATGGAACGCTTCCACGGCATGTTTATACCTGAGAAGTCCTATTTGGTCAACTTGGACGGTCTTGTCGATCAATTACAGCAGAAAGTCCACCTCGGGCATGAGTGCCTGTTCTGTGGCAAGATCAAGTCTACCGTATTCGGTATCCAGACACATATGAGAGACAAGGGTCACTGCAAGATTCCCTTTGGCACAGAAGAGGAGCAGCTGGAAATTGGAGATCACTATGACTTCCGCAGCACTTATTCTGAAGATGAGGAAGAGATTTCGGACAGCGCGGAAGAGGAGAACGACAAGGGTGGCGCCAAGCTTGGGGCACCCCGAGCCTCTAAGATCACCGATGCAGACGGCAACGAGGTCAATGGAGATGACGGTGAGGGCTGGGAAACTGACAGCGATGCATCTGGCGATGAACAAGAGGAAGGCCGGACAAAGCGCCGTGATCCTGATATCTACATTGATGACTACGAACTCCACTTGCCATCGGGCAAATCTGTCGGTCACAGATCCCTGAACAAGTATTACCGCCAGAACCTGACTCACTACCCCACACCCGAGGAAAGAGCCGAACGCTTGGCGCTTGAAAATGGGGAACGCGGAAGCGATGATGAGGATGCCGGAGCAAATGATCAGGTCGCAACTCGCGGTGGTCGTAGCCGAGCTATTGTTCCTCGCGGAGCCATGGGTATGACTGGCGTGACCGATGAAAAGCGACAGCTAGTCAAGAAGTCGGAGGAGAGAGGTAGAACCCGGGAGACAGAGTTTGCCAAAAAGAAGGACTACGTTGTTGGGAAGAAACTCAACAACCAGAAGAACTACTACTACCGCTTCGCTGGTGGTGGTTAGTTGAATAGCTAGCTCACTGAGTAGAAAATACAAGCAATGATGATGACTGTTAGCTCAAGCATTCCTTTAGAACCAAGTTCAACATGTGTTAAAGTATAAAGGTTCAGGACCCTTTCTTCTCATTTTGAAGTTCAGATTCACATGGCATACAACATACAGCACTGTGATGTTATGGACTCCTCAATCTGATGCGTGATTGGCTGGATGGTGATGCGATCAGGCGGAGGTTGCCGGTGAAGATGCAATTCCCCGCATTTTCAGCGGGTCTGCAGATTTCGGTGCGGGAGCGGAGTCTCGGACTGGGCTGGGGGAAGGGAGGAGGCTGAGATTAGAATCTCCCTCCCGGCGAATTGCATCGTTGTGGGGGGCGATCATTCGCAGTTTGATTATGCCAGGCCTAGGCAGCGGTCGGTACACAGAAGCTCAACCTGGAACCGCGCATCTACCACCCGCTACTGCTAGCCTCGGTGTGCATGTGCGGCAGGCAAGTAAGCCGACCAGAGTGTGCCCTGCTTTGGGCCCGTCGCCACGATGATGCAAGGCGAGCTGGTCACGCGCCGGACCCAGTTCTCGAGCTGCGATGAGTGCCGCCGGTCCCGCGTCGCCTGCGATGCGTCGTCTCGCGGCCAGGCTGAGGGCTCCGAGGAGCCCGTGTCGTGTACGCGGTGCCTGAAGCGGCAGAAGCCGTGTACGTTCAAGGTACGTTGCGTAGAGTTCGCGTCGAAAAGTGAGCTGGGGAGGATTGGCTGTCTACGACGTTGTGGATGCATAGCTCAGCCCGATTGACCTGACTGTTTGTTAACCTGGGTTGTGATTAGTGGGTGAGCGAAAACAAGGCCTCTGCTTCGAGGAAGCTCTCAACCAAGCGGAAGCGGCGGCGGCGGCAGCCTTCAGTGTCGGCCAGCGAGACGGCCACCTCGCAGCAGAATGCGCCGGGGGATGTATCAACCACAGCAGCCCGTGGGTTTGGTTCCTCGCCGGGATCAGAGGGACTGCCGTCGTTCTCTTCGGAGTCTCACAGTACCAGAGCCACGGCGACGGCTCTACTCAATCTTTCCTTTGGCGGACCGCCTGACACGTTAAGCCAGAGCGATTCAGAATGGCTGTCTGTGATTTACCAGACGGGCTATGAAACCGTCTTCGGCTCGTGGATGGGGAGATACGGGAATCCTTTCGTGTAAGAAGTCTTCTCTCTATCTCTATGTCAAGACTACCTTGGGAAGAGAGTATGCGCTAATCAGACCAGAACGGACAATGCGTTCGCTGACAAGCATGTGAGCATATCATACCTCTGCAGGCAGCTTGATAAATGGATGGCAGATGATTCTGGAGCTGGTAATACATCTGCGAGGGATGATGCTCAAGAACGATTGATCGACGAGTCTTTGCGTAGTACTACTGCAGCCTTTTCTTCTCGCTGGCTTCCTTTAGCGACAGGTGCTTCCTCGGATGATCCTGAAACCAGCGCTCTGATGCAGAACCTATGGCGATATGCCCGCCGGGATATGCTGAGGGTCATTAATCGTCCTTGCTACCGTTCCATGCTCAGCTTGTTCCTATTTGCCCTGACCCCCATCCCGGTAGGCATCTCTGAAGAGGAAGAAGTCGATGGCATATCCGGCCAGGCCTGTGTTCACGCAGCGCTCCAACATATACAAGTCCTGAGGGCGCGTCAGAGGAACCTCCATTTCAGCGGCTCCAAGGTCTCCCCGTACCTCAAGAAGCACATCATCCCGACAAGTCCGGGATCCATCGACACCTTCAACTTTATCCATGCCGAGAGCACCGCATACTGGGCGGCTCTCACCTTCGACACCTCGGCATCGTTGACGCTCAACTGCAGATCGCTGTTATCGTCGGGACTGTTCGGTTACGAGGAGGAACTCTGCTGGCGTCTGATCCGCAGCAAGGCGAAGATGTTTGATGACGTGGCACATGGGTGGTCGACAAACAGCCTAGACATGACCGACGAGAGAGCCAACCAGATTGTGGCCGTAGGATCCGGCTGGAAGCTTCTCGCCTGGAAGCTCACCGCCGTGTTCAAGGAAGCTCTCCGGGACGGACACGATGAGTCGAGGGTCCTCAAGGCGTATAATGCTGTCGTGGACGCGATCAAGCAATTCGACCTGATTTTCCGTCCTCATCTGGACGCCTGTCAACGGCGAATGCAGTTTTTAGGGCAACAGGCCAAACTGCGCTGGTGTAAGTTTTTGAATGGAACACATAGATTTCGAATCTCCGTTTGCTAACGAATTACCCAAGATTCACTCATGTTACATTATCACTTGAGCATATTAATGCTCGTGGACATCATCGAGGCGACGGAGCGCTTCGATTTGCTGCGCGGCGTTCAGGACGCTGCAGCCGACGCAGAGAACACCGTCATGAACACACTCGTGTTCGGCCTTCACAATACGTGCACGGTGACCCTCGATCCAGGCGTGGTATCACCAACAAGCGAGAGAGACGGCAGTCAGCGGAAAAAAGCCTCCATCACAGTGCCGCTCACATCCATAGACCCATACCCACATCACATCGTTGCCGGCGTCCAGCTGGTCCGCAAAGCGGTCGAGCGAGATTATGGCGAGGGCAAGATCACGAACGAGTCTTACGAAAATCTGCAGTCCATGCTGGAGCAGACCTTGAGCCTCCTGCCGCAGAGCTCCAAATCGGTGCGGGCGGCGAGGACGAAGCTCGCGACGCCCTCAGAATCGGGCATCTCAGAGCCGCGGCAGGATCCATACGGCTCTATGCAAGGGCAGTACGTGGAGTAATTACCGAGCTGCGATGTTGTCTGTCCCACGATTCCGTGCGTAGGCATGTGCTCGGCGTAGGGCTAGGATCGGCCTCGTCTAATTCGACAATGTCATTCAAATGCCGGATAGACCTTGGATCGACAGCAGAATTGCCATTTATCCTATCATTTAGTCTCGATCCCGAGCAAACTAGTAGATCCTCCCCAGTCGGATCCGAGATCAACGATGATGCAACCAAAAATTACCCCATACTTAGGCTACCCCATATTATCTTCAAGTATCGGATCCGACGACTACCCCGACTTTGGCTAAAACCCTCGTGGCCGCCCTCACTCCATCTGATGTCTCTACTATTACTTCGATAGTTTTCATACATGAAATAGAGATATCACGATGTTATCTACCACAGCCGCGCCGACTCGTCGAGACGCTGTCGCCATCCTGGGCGCAGGGACGCAGGGCAGACGCTTGGCCTACATGGTGCGCATGGCCTCCCAACCAGTCCCGTATTGAACATTCACTAATCTCTATCGCAGTGGTCAAGTTTGGGGAATGAAGTTCATCTGATCGATGGGCAAGAAAGACAGCTGGAAGATGCCGTGCAGGCTGTAGATGACTTCCGAGCCGAGCTCGACTCGCCCGGTTCGGAGAAGGGCCAGATCATCACCCACTCACCAAGCCAACTTAGCCAAGCCCTTGGCAACTCATGGCTGGTCGTCGAGGTACTTTACTTTAATCTCCTCGCTTGTATATAACCGTCATTCGGTTCTCTAACACTTCACGTCTAGTGTGTGCCAGAGAAGCTACCACTCAAGCGGGAGGTCATTTCACAGCTGGATGCCGTGGCACCAGAAGACATCATCATCGCGTCAAACTCGAGCAGCTACTCGAGCGCCGAAATCATCAAAGGTCTAAATCTGAGGCACAGCGGCCGCGTCCTCAGTGCGCATACTTGTATGTGACCAAACATTTACATATTGCTGTCGCGGTGACAACCTAACAGCAAAATCTGTAGATTGGCCCCCTGAGACTCCAGCCATCGAGATCATGGGCCACGAGGGGACACACGCGCCCTACATTGATCTCATGATGAAGCGGTGCGCCGAGCACGGCTTCGACCCATTCCACGTCCGGAGCCAGTCAATGGGTTACTTGTACAACCGGTATGACAACTTCTCGTCCTCACCACCCAAGTACCCCCCTTCCCCATGAAAAAAACCTAACCATGATTTTCTTTCTGCAGGATATGGGCGGCAATCAAGAGAGAGGCTCTCCTAGCTGCCTCAGAGGGCGCTGGGACGCCCGAGGAGCTCGATGCAATTTTCAAGGGCGTGCTGAAGACTCCAAAGGGCCCCTTCGAGCAGATGGATATTGTGGGACTGGATGTCGTCTTGGATATCGAGGAGCACTACGCTGAGGCGCGGGGCGACATTCCCGAAGAGCCGAGGGCCTTTTTAAAACAGTATTTGGACAAGGGCCACCTGGGAGTAAAGAGTGGCAAGGGATTTTACGATTATGGAAATCAACATAGGTTGTAATTTGTCTTTGCGAGTCATCGAAGAGAAGAGAGCATATTGGAGCGTGATATTCAGCCTAAATACTACAAAATCAAAAACATATGTTGCACACAGTATAGTATCGTTGCATCTGGATGATAGTAACGGGCGTTATATCCATCTTGTTATCAGAATGACAATAACCAATGAGGGTCACGAGACAATAGCAGCGAAGGTTATGGGTCCCAAGATCTCGAAATTCAATACACTGTTATTGATTCGCTATTATACGCTATCCAGTCCATGATACTTATTTAACAATACGACCATCACACAAAAATCAAACGCTCGCCTTGCAAGAAAGGGAAACAGTTCATTCGCACTTTCATCGGCACGCGATCCAATTCCCCCACAAAGCCATCGACATTTCGAAAGGGATCAAGCAATTTATTTACCATGGCGACTCTTGCCGTCACAATCACAAGAATGAACTCGAAGCGACTCAGATCCGTCCACCCATTCGCCAGCCACTGCATCGACCGAATCGCAGGCATGATGTCCTCCTCCTGGACGATCTCGTTGATTGTTTTGGAGAACCGGTATTTATCGGGGTCCTCGTCTATTGCCTTTTTGAGCGCCTCGCGAGAAGCCATACACGAATGGTGCAGGTATATTGAAGTGTACCTGACATGCGGCGCTGGGAACTTGACATTGGGATTTTGGTGTTCCGCGTCTGGGAACCGAGACGACCACCAGTTTCCCCAGTCATCGTCGTTTGGAGGTAAAATGCAGAGGCCAGGGGGGGGATTGCTGCCGAACTTCTCAATGAAGACGTCGATGGTCTTGAGGCTCACGAGCAGAGCCAGCATTTCGAGGGTCTCTTGCGAGAAGGGCGTGATCAGGCGTTTCCGAAGAAATAGTACTTTTTCCTCGTGCGTCATTTCGCCCCATGTCTTGTCCCAGTATTGGGTCTCAGAGTTTGCGAGCGGTGAATCCATTTGGTAGTCTTGCGAGGCGTTGTAGGAACCACGGGATCGCGCTGCAACAACCACGAAAGGAGGATGAAAATTATGAAAGCTGCGACGAGTTTTCTTCGCATCTCTTGAACGAATGAACTTTTTGAGATAATGATGCCTCTCCGATATCTGATTAGATGGAAGAATAATTGGCGCTGTGCGGTTGAATCTGTGCGGTTGAAAGATCGTGGATTGTATTGTTGTTTTTCAGGATATACGATTAAATTAAGCTACCTTATCTGTGCGAGGCGAAGGAAAGTGCATAGATGGTTCAGGACGTAAGAGCGGAGAGTGGGGGAAGGTCGACCTTACCCCTAGCAGCCTTCTTGCTTCCCTCGTAGAAACCAATAAAGCCGGGATAGTAAGGGCGTCCTAGGTCGGTTCGCATGTGATACTTCACATAAGGTTCATAACAAGGTGCCATGGCAAGCTTGACGTATGAATTCTTTCCGTGGCGGAAATGGCGATCAGTATAGAAAGCCCAAGTATTGTGCTGCATCTCTGGTTCCTCTCTTCGCCGCTTCCACGTAACATAGACCTTGAACCTAATGCCCAACCACCACGCTCGCATGCATCTCATTGTTGCCATGCTTAGACAGTACCAATTTGATAAATGGCCTCTTAATAAGTTTAGCTTCAGCTTATCATGATCTGCCCAACTTCACAGGTGCTCGTGGCGGAAGCCATCCTCAATTTAGAAGCCTCTCTTTTGGTATACCTAGGATGAGGAACCTCATATTTCCAAAAGCCAAGGTATCAACTAGCCTTGGCAGGGCATAATTGATACCCTAATAGATGTCGTGTTTATAGTTTATACAGGTTACCTTCGTGGATAACAGTACCGTCAATGATATGTTGCGTTATATCTCAACCAATCCGATTCAGGGTCTGGGATACCTCCGCTGTTGTTGACGTTTGATGTGCCTTGAGGTAACAACAGATTTGTCTGGTTATCAGTCGATCCGATAGTTGAGTTTGAAACTCTGGGTAAGTTGAAAAAGTCGAAAACGTCTATATTATCCAGCTCGCTCAAGGATGTGTTTTGGGTTGACGTGCTTTCCAGTCCCGATCGTCTCGTCTGCGTCGTCAACTGGACCAAGTCATAGGCGCTTCTACAGAGGGAAAACTGTCAGAACGTATACAAGGGAATGAAAATCTTCAAGGGTTGCACCTACTTTCTCATGGCGGCGAAACTCATATTGTTCTGGCGAGCTCGCTGGATCACTCTGCTCAACACCTTGGCATAATTATGTGCCACCTCCCAGTACTGGCCAACGTGTTTGAGCGTCTCAACCAGGAATTCGATCTTGGGATCGACAGGGCCACCAACTGTTGCGGCGTGTACAATCAGCAATCTAGCAGCAACCCAAAGAGAAAAGGCGAAGGGCGGGCCCAGTAGGTCCAACCCATCTGCCTCGTAGACATCTCTGGCAATATCACCGAGACTTTGCACCGCCGAGAGACATCTTTGCATTGCATAGTGTGATGGAACGAATATGTGTGATCGGACCGTGGGATATGCTGCTGCTGAATGAAGCCGTACAACCGCAACCACATACGCACTATGGAGCATAAACCAGTTGGCAACGCGACTAGCTGGGTCCGAATGGCACAAAGCCGATATCTTGCTGTATTCGCTTGGCAAGCTCTGCAACCAAGAATCCAACGAGGAGTCCAGTGTGTGGTATGTGTTGCGCCAGGTGGCCATGTCCGTGGAAGATGTCACATCAACCGGCGTTCGTAAGAAATTGTGGATTTTGCTGATAATACGGAGGATCTCGCAATGGTAGGCAAAACTACCCAAGTTCTCGGGCTTCTTCACCATGAAGGATGCTTCCTGGCTAGGTTGCTGGTCATTCGATGCCATTACCGTCTGTGTCTCGACAGGGACGTTCCTAGAAAACAAGTCGTACGAGCACGGAAGGACTCGCCTCATTAAGCTGTCGCTCAAGGAGAAATCGAAGGTCGTCGTAGCAATAGTAGCGTATCTGTCCAGGAGATAAACCATCCAACATAGCCGTCTTCTTCCTTCATCTTCTATCCACGATTCGGGTCTGGTTGTAGCTATCCGCCGGATCGATCCAGTCGTCGGCATCTCGTCAGGCTCGGTCGCTAGAAACACACTCGTCTCTTCACAAAGGCCTAATTGCCTGGCGTTCTGGGCCAGCATGGCCAGCAGATTCCATCCTCTTGGGCCATTCAACGTACCGAGTTCATCTAAAGAGAGAATAACGGATACCTTCAATGCCTCGATACTGACATTCTCCATTGCATAGAGCTGAACAGTCCTCCTCGAAACACCGTGATAATGCAACTTCGCCTCGTACGATAACCTAGGGTCTTTCAAGAATCGCAACGTAGTTGCTACAATGGCGTGAAGGAGGACGCGGTCCGCTTCGTTCATCGACGTCGAACCGAAGAATATTCCGAACGTCGTTTTTCGCTCGAGGATAGGACACCATGTGTTGCAGTGTTTGAAGTACAGGTCGACAAGAGTGTATATCACGTCCTGAGGCGGGAGATCGGCGAGAGCAGGCGTAGCAAGAGGAGGCTGGCGAAATGAAACCGAAGGGTTCAGCGGCAAAGGCGGCGCGCTGGTGTTCTGGACGGCACCAGACGGGTTCTGCTGGCCACCATACTGAGCAACGTCAGGGGCATCGCTGCCAGGCCAGAAACCACCAGGGAAGAGGCTCGCCGTTCCTTGGGAATTGGGAGTGCCGCCCGCAGGAGTGTTGGGGGCGGGTACACCACTGGAGAAACCACCTCGAGAGGCTACATCGGCAACCTGAGATCCCGTCGCCTGTGTGCTGATGGCGGGTGATGGAGCATCATGGGAGTCTATGTGCTCCTCCAGCCTCCGTCCAAGAGACTGCAAGAGGGCGTCGATCTTGTTGACCTTGGCCTCGAGCTCCAGCCCGAAGCCAATGCGGCTTCCAGGCTTCTGTCTTTCCAGATAGACACATGTCCTGTTGTGACGGGCACACCACGAGCATGCGGGCTCAGCGCGGTCACACTTGACCTTGCGAGCTTTGCACAACTCACATCTATATTAAAGTGGTCAGCATCAGCAAGAACAAGAGGGTAACGAGCATCCTGGTGACTCAGGGGGAGGGTCCAAGAGTGGGATCCTACGAGGTCTTCTGGTGCTTCTCTCTCTTTCGCTTCCTCGGTGTCGTGGCCGAAGGGACATTGTGGGCCGTATCATCACCACTTGATCCCTCCTCGTAGCTGATGCCCGAGTTCGCGTCCTCCTCGGCCGCAGGTGCATTGGATCTGGTCATTGTGCTACTGCAATCGGCATCCGTCACATATGGGCCATGCCACTATCAACATGCGAAAGTCGAATGGCCCGTAATTCCGGGTTTTTGTTTCTCTTTGTCCAGCTGATAAGATGAGGGAGGGAGCCAGTCCTGCACTCCCAAAATCAAGGAGTCCCGGCAGGATTGGTTATACCGGCTGAGGACAGGATGGGTGATCAACACTGGGACATGTCTGCCTCGCTTCCCGTCGGTTGGCCTTCTCCGGGCTCTTGCTCGAATCGCATGTACGTGCTTTTCGACTGGCCTGGAAATGGACGCAGCGAAATGTCATCAACCGACCCACAGGCGTTTCCGCACCACGAGGTGGTCTGGTTGGAGGCTGGGCACCTTGTAAGCTCAGCGCCTGGACCCTGGGAGTTGTTCCCTAACGGGTGATGCTAAACCGTTGGTTGGCTGTTCCAGTGAGCAGCTAGTGCGCTTCTCTCAGTCGCAGCGGGCTTTTCTCGGTGCTTTCTCCCGAGGAGCAGGAGGGACACAAGGGAAAGTACCGAGAGGGTACATGCCTGCCTGCGCTGTGGCTGTGGGTTGGGGGAACTGTTTGAGCTTAATCAGCCCCTCCACAGGCAATGGAGGTACTGTCTGTACACAGTTCGTCACAGCGCATTTGGTGGTGGCAAGAGCCTCTCTTGTGACGGCATAAAATTTATTCCACAGATACACACGGCGATCGCCGTACAGCGGAAAGATTGCATCAAGCTTACAAAAGAGACTTTCGGCAATGTATCTGCATCTAGGCAAGGGCTACCTACTCCTCACATGTAGGGTAGGGGTCATGATACAAAGGCCAAAGGTCAAAGCTCTTACCGCGGCAAGCCGTGATCTAAGGTTCTAACTTCTACACCCTCAGCTGTGTCGGGCAAGCCCACGAGTCGTGTATAGCTCCCAGGGGCGAAAATTGATCGCAACGTCACCTCCCCCTGCACAGTGTATCCGGAACCGCATAGCACATGACAACCCACCCAGACAAGATCCCTGCTCCCATCTTACACGCCGGTGTGCTCGCGAACAGCGACGCGAGAAGACTCCATGTACGAAACCATCTACGTCTATGCATTGGACATGTACCTGCAGGGGATGCAACGGAGTGTGCTTCGCCATCACCACCATGATCACGCCCAGCTCCTCACATCTCGGACTTTGACCACCGAAACCTGTCGAGCTCCATCTCCACAAATGATAACAGGCAGGCACGGCCAGAGGCACCATTCATTGCTGGCGAACTTATCAATGAGATATCCAGAAACAAAAACGTGTAATCCAATTCGCTCCGACGCCCTTAAAAGTAGTATCATACATATTTGGGAGGCCCTCTCCGACCCGGCCGGCTCCCAAAAACATCAATCATTCTTCATATTCCCCTGTGGTAACCCCCTCTAGCTGGCCCAGCCCTTGCTCATCTGGACCGCCTTCTCCCATCGCTCGAATTGCTTGTCGGCGGACGCAGCGTCGATCTGGGGCTTGAACAGCGTTCGGCCATCGACGTTGACGTCGTCCAGCTCCTTAAAGTCGCTCCAGACTCCGACGGCCAGGCCGGCTGCGATGGCAGCACCCAGAGCGGTTGTCTCGCGCATTGCCGGCCGGTTGACGGGAATGCCAATAAGGTCAGATTGGGTCTGTGTACCAAAACGTCATTAGTAACCGCACGCCAAGAATGTCAATGGCCCGGAGGCTTTAGGTAGGGGACATCCCAAACCACACTAATTACTTACCTGCATAATGAGATCAGAGTTGCACATGCCACCATCGACAGCAAGCTCAGCGAGAGACTTGCCGCTGTCCTTGGCCATGGAGTCCAGGATGGCCTTGGTCTGGAAGCAGGTGGCCTCGAGGGTGGCACGGGCGATGTGGCCACGCTGGGTGTAGGCAGTAATTCCGAAGAGAGTACCACGAGCATCGTCGATCCAGTACGGGGCGAACAGACCGCTGAACGCAGTGACGAAAGTAACACCACCGTTGTCCTCGACAGTCTCGGCAAGGGCGCTCAGCTTGGAGGAGGAGTCGATGAAGCCCAGGTTGTCGACCAGGAACTTGACACTGGAGCCGGCGACGGCGATGCTGCCCTCGAGGGCGTACATCCTCTTGCCGGGGCCAAAGTCGAAAGCGACAGTGGACAGGAGGCCGTGGGTGGAGATGACGGGCTTGTCACCAACATTGTAAAGCAAGAAGCATCCGGTGCCGTATGTGTTCTTGGCCTGGCCGGGGGTGAAGCCCTTCTGGCCGACCAGAGCAGCGGACTGGTCACCCAGGCAGCCGGTGATCT